CCAATTAACGGTCACTTCACAAAAAATTTAACGGAAGGGCATCGTCGTTACATTGTGATACTAGAAGGGTACATTTGTGCAAAAATATAGTATAGCGGCACGTTTGTTAATGAGCAATAGTAAAGGGGCACAAAATGTTTATTAACCCTAAATTAAATGAGTAAGTAGAATATTGATGATGTCGATGATAATGTGATTCCTTGCTCTCTCAAAATTACACACACAACAAATATTGCAAAATAATAATGAGATTTAGGTCATAATTTTTTCGATTATCATGTACGAATACATCAGAAGGGAGAGAAAAGTTATTCACTTATTTTTATTTATTAAATATAATTTATTTGCTAATTTTAACATCTTCATTCGTTGACTTTAAATATTTGAACTTCTTTATCACTTTTGCGAGCTAAAAACCATCTCTTATTTTATATATCGCTCGATAAAAATCAACATGTGATCTAATTATTTCAATTTTTTGTGACTTTGACATTTAATACTTATATAGCGGGTTTGATACAAAATTATAGATCAATAAAGAAAGATATATAGAGAAATAAATTAATAAAATTTTTCATAATAAATGAAAGATATAAAAATGTGAAACAATAGCTGAAACAAGACAAGTGAGATTAACAATTTCATATATTATAGTGTAACATTCATGAACCATTAAAAAATTAGGATATTGCAAGGTAAAATAAATAAGAAAATCAAACAAAATACCCCACCCAAGGGGCGGGTAAAAAACTAGTTACTTAGAATTTTAATGACACCAAACTCTTACAACATCTTCTTCTCTTTTGTGTGATAGAGAGAGAGGAGATCTATGATAATTGAAAGGCAGAGTACATTATGAAAAGTGAGAGGGAGAAGTATAAGCACGTTGATAGAGGAAGGAGTGAGAGATGATTAAACAAATAATAGAGGGATAAATAAAGAATGTGAGAGAAAGAAAATCAAATAAAATGGCACTTAAATCAAATTTTGTCCCCCATTTTAATGTAATGAATTAACTAAAGATAGTGTAAAATTACAAAACAGTCACTTTGGTGATGTGACTCTAACCCTGTGTTCTTTTAGAGCGGAAAAGGGGGTGAGGGAAAGAATAGGGAAGAAAGTTGGAGTTTCAATTTACTTTCATCTATTCTCGAAAAAATAAACAGTGTAGAGAAAGGAAAATGGACAGACAATATACTGTGCAATCCACCCTTCTTTCTTATCCCTCAATGAACCAGAAACCTTCCCATAAACTAGAAATTTGATAGAATTTGCAAAATAAAAAGAAAAATTAATTAGAACCCCATTGAAAACAATCACAATGTAGCCTGCCTTCACATTATTTTTTTATTAATTAAATTTCTGAAAATAATGTCATTTTTTATTAATTAAATTTTCTAAAATGATCATGGATTGATATTAAGTCGTTGTGGTTTTCGATTCTAGGTATGTGTGAACTATTGTGGTTTTGGATTGATATTAAGTTACGGTGACTTTTAATGCACCGTAGGCATACCAATAATTGGGATTTTTAAAAATGATTAATTGTATTCATATAGAAAAAGATTAATGAGGGCTTTTGACGGTGATGCAATTTAATCGATCATTGCATTGATTATAACGAATATGGGCAAGTCCCGAATCTATATATGTTGGTAATGGTTGGGCATGATTTTGATTAATTTTCTTTGTTCTAGTGATTTACTTCTTTTTTAGTTTGCGCACCGTCATTGTAAGAAATTAAATATGTATTAAATCGAGTAAATGAACTAGATTTTAAATCCTTTAATTTTTTTAATCGTTAACCATATTAGCAAGAAAAATGAAACGACTTGACAATAATACGAATATAAAAATTTTAAGTGGATACAGATTTGTGTATGTGTAGTTTGATTTGTTGTATGTTTACGTTTTTAGTTGCTATGTTGATGAATCAATAAAATAGCGAACAAAGTTTTAACAATAGGTTCACAAAAATATTTCAAACCATCTCTTTTTAGTTTTTAATTGTGAACAAAATTAGTAAGAAAGTAAAAATTTCATTCACATAACCAATGAAAATAATATCAACATATAATCAAATTATTTTATTATTATATACCCAATAAAATAGCATATCCATCGTAATCTCAATATACATTTTCCTTCCCACTTTTCTCCATGAACACTATTTTATTTCCAATTTTCTTAACCTCCAAATTGTCCCTCCCCTCCTAATTCCCTTCCCTCCCCTCCATTTTCCTCCCTTCCTTCGGATACATAGGATAAGAAAAAGTAGCCAACCACTTTGTGTTTGTATAATATAATATAACTATTATTAGCCCCGAAACCTCCTATAATTCACTGCTAACCTCAATCGGAATTTTTTCCCCAAATATTGTTATTTAAAAAAATATTACCCAAAATACCGTAGTAAGAAAAATATTTTCAAATCTACCATCGTAAAAGACTAATTGGGGGCGCACACACCCCAATTGACTTTGATGACAATGAAGAAGATAAATTGAGGCGTGCACGCCTTTATTGGTTTACAGGGAGTCAGAAAGACTAATTAAGGCGAGAAAAGTCTTTTTCTCGCCTCAATTGGTCTTTTTGACACCCATCACCTTAAATACGACGATCTCTTCTTCTTCCTTCTTCAAACTCTAACCAGGCGCCGAAGAACAGCCGGAAATCCCTTCTCCATCTATATCCTCCACCCAAGGTTGTCAACCCGCGGGTCGACCCACTTTGACCCTGACCTGGTGGAAAAAACGGGTTGCGCGCACCCACCAGGTCGGCCGCTACAAGGTATCGGGTTGGAGGTCAAATTGTGTCATTTTTTTTCTTTGGTTTGCGAAATGCGCCTATTTTCCTATTTTTCTTTTCACCTAACTCAATCTGTGGAATCCTTAGTTGAACATTTGAATATTAATGTTATATAAGTGTGTGTGAATTTTCACTATATGTTGGATCTAAGTACGACATGTTACTTTGGTGTAATGTTATATGTTATTACTCATATGTTAGTTTGATATAATTTATCTGGATAAGTAAAATATAATGACTTTTTCCATATTTCAAGGCTAAAACGGGCTAAACGGGTGACCCGTTAACCCTTTACCCACTAGCTCGACCGTGTCTGGGTCAACTTGCGAGTTGACAACCTTGCCTCCACCAAAAACCCTCTTCCTTCCAGCGAGTGAACGAATAAGATCAAAGAGGAGACTTCCCTACCCTTCTTCTCCTTTCCGTCGGGCATGAAAGACGAAGATTTCATCGACGGTGGAGGGCAAAATGACGATAATCGTGGTCGTGGAAGGCGACGGAGAGGTTGAGGCAGAGGTGCTGGTGGTCGGCGGTCGATTGCTTGCCGTAAGTTCGACGTTTTCCGACATTAGTTCCGCCAGCGACATAGCTCCGGAGAGCCTTGCCGGTCGCCGATGATTTTTTTTTAATTTGTTCCCTTATTATGTATTGCAGCTCCTATGGTGTACGATCAATATGCATTGTTTCCTTTAGACAACGAATGTTAAATCGAGCCGATTTGGTTTGGTCAAACGAGGTACATACTTATTATTAACTACAATTTAATTTAATTTGAATTAGTATGAATTTTTGTATGTATAAGATTAGTGACTAAGTTACTGTTAGTATAGTGTGAATTGTAGTATAGTATATGATTAGTGACTAAGTTATTGTTAGATTAGTGATGGATTGTATGTTCATAATAGCTTATTCTTTTTAGTTAAGTTGATATTTAAGTTTATGCTTATATAAGTATCTTTATAAGTAACTGATTAGTTAAATATTAATTAGTTACATTATGATACATAGGCTTTGGTATGTTCATATAAGACTCGAGGTAAGTCTATATTAGGCCAGTATTATGAGGTTTACGAACCATACCTTCTGGCGGCTGGATTGTATATTGTTAGTTATGTCTCATCGCATAAAGCTTCGTGGCTCTTTGTGCAGCTTCTTTTGAACAGAATATCTGACTAATGTACAACTCTTGCTCTAGATGGCTTCCAAGATCATCATTCATATCTCCATAAGAATCAATTCTCATCCCGTTGTCATAGTCTTCGGGAAACACAAAATAATGTGTTGAAAGAACGTATGTTTCCAAGTTTGATGTAGCAGCTCCTTCAATCACAACTAGATGTTAATCTTCATCGACCTCATCGCCATCAGCCTCATCCTCATTGTCCTCCTCCATATGATCATCTGGCTCACTAGGGGCACTACTCGAATACATGCTCGATGTATCGTCGTCCTCTTCCGGATGACTTTAGAACTCAACACATATCTCAGCAAACTCTTGATTTGGATTCTTAGCCATAAAATCCGTTATCATATCAACTTCGACATCGTCCATAATAGGAATACCATAGTGATAGAATTTACCATTTCTTTGCAATTCTGGCAGCCTAAATGTAAAGGCAGATATTGTGCCTTCTACACCTTCTTGTCGTAGATTTGTGTTGATCACCTAAGATAGTTGCTCGTTTGTCAAACGGCCATGAACTTGTAGTACGAAATTAGTACCACCAATGAACTTCAACCCAAGCTTTCTCTCTTCCTTTTGAATTCCCCACTAAACAACAAGTTTAAAATCTCTACACACAAGAAGAAGAAAAAATATATAGAACAATTAAATTAACTATACACATACCATTTCAATCTACTAATAATGTTTTAACTCAAGTAATAACCGAAAGTTAACATGCATACCTCGTATTAGACATAATCTCTCAAGTGGTTTAGCTCGAAATGCATGAATTATGTATGATGTAGTGGATGGTATTTATAGGGGATGAAAGTTAAGAATGGTCGAAGAGGATATGAGAACACATTAGCAAAAATGATATCCTATTTATAGGCACCAAAAAATACCCGTTTAGCACAAATTTGTCCGTTGGAAAGTATTTTCCCGTGATTTGCCCTTTGGAATAACCGTATGGTCGTGTCTGGGAGCGTTCAATTATAAATTGGGGCGGAAAAAATCCTAATTGAGGCGTGCACACCCTAATTGGGCTTATTGCCGCCTCAATTGGTCTCCACAGCTTTTAAAACATTAAATACAGCGCATACGCCCCAATTGGTAATTTTCTGTATAGAACACTCATGGCGAAAACGAAAAAAATTGGAACCCATTTTTGGTTTCGAAAAAAAAAGTTGAATCGATAATAGGCATAAAGTAAATTCTTTGGAGTTGAAAAAAAAACAACTTTGAAATTGGAATGTCAAACAATCTATGTCATTCAAATTGTATGTTGTGGTTTTGATACATTCTATGCATCCTATCATAATACAAGGAGGGTCAGTGGCAGTGCCAAGCTGATCCAATCTGGCAGTGGCAGACTCTAATCCAAAATCCCTAGCAAACAAAACCACTTCCAATTTTTAATTCCACCCCCAAAAGATTCCAACTTTTCCCCCCATTTCCCCGCGAACTTTACTTCCATCTTTTACCCCTTCTATCGAATCACGATCATCAATCTAATTCCCATCTCCCGCTTCCCTTTCTCAAATTCCTCTTCAGGATTCATTGAACGATTTGGATACTTAAAAACAGGTAATCCGCTGATGAGAAAATGAACCGCTGAGACATCTGTTCTCTTTTTTGACAGTGGCCAGGTGCTGTTTTTTCTTCAACTTTAAGGATTTTTTCTTTCCTTTTTGGCGGGCTTTTGCCTCTGATATTTTTGGTTCTGAGCAAGTCATGTCCTGGATAAGGATGTGGTGGTGGATTGATGTTTGAGGTATCTGCTTCACTGGGGTCGAGATTTTTATGCAAGTTGTGGTGGTTTTGATTTCTTTCAAAGGCACAGTTTGCTCTTCAGAAAGCGATGTTGTTTTTCTTTTTTCTACTACCCATTTGGTTCCAGCTATTTAATATTTATAGCCCCAATTTCGACAACTTTCAGCCAATTCAGTTCTTTGATCAATTTGAGGCTGATGGGTTCTCTTCATTATATAAAAGTCTGCTGATTTCTTATCTTGCTCAGCAAATTGAGTCTTTTCCCATTATTTCCCCAGCTGGATAAACGATTTCTCAACGTTCTGTAATTTGGTACTGATCTTCTGCTGGATTGTAAAGAGAGAGAAATGTTGGATGAGAAAGAGAAGAAGTTCCTCACAGTAGCACAATTCCAGTGTGCTTGGAGGAAAGACTTGAAATTTCGGGAAGCCGGAAGAGGTTGTGTAGCATTCGACGCATTTGCTCACAACGACGTCACAGTTGTCTTCAGAGAGAATGTCGGCACTCTCCACTACCATTACAAGAGGGACAACAGCCTTCATTACACCGTGATCCTTGGCAGCAATAGAAATCGAAGATTGAAGCAGACGGGAAGACGGAGGTCAATGTGGAAGGTATTGGACTATGTTCCTCTACTTTCCAGAGTTACTGGATCAGCATTTACGACTGGTTGATCAGCGTTGGAAAGGGAAGGTACCCGTTCCAGAATCTCATGTTTTAGTGGCTGCATTCTAATCCGAATTGTAGCGTTCGATATGTCGGGCTCAGTAGCTGGGATAGGCATGTGGGTTATAGGAATGTGAATGTTTTGTCAGTGCCTCATGACCATATGTTTCTGTGGAAGCAAGTTGATTCGGGGGAGTTTGAAGGGAAGGAAGACAGTGAATAGGAGTTGGAAGGTGAGGAAGTCACAGATGAGGAATGGGGGCTTCCCAATTTCCTGGAAAGCTGGGAACTTTCTAATGTCTTCTTCATTGTTGGCATGGAGGAGACACATGTCCTAGCTCATAAAGTCATTCTGCAAGGTTCTGGTAATTTCCCTTTCAGCAAATCAGACGAGGATGTTATCCAGCTCCAGAGTGTATCATATCCAGTTTTACAGTCCCTTCTCCAGTACATTTACACTGGCCGAACCCAGGTATTATGCCTTATAACTTGAACATTGGCCTGATGCGATTTGGCTTGGTGGTCGGTTTGTATCCTTTTAGGAATTCTAACTGTTATATTCTCTTGCATTTTATGAATTTGATGCCAATGTAGATTTTGGAATCACATATTGAGCTGCTGATGGCGTTGAGCTTGAAATTTGAGGTGATGCCCTTGGCAAAGCAGTGTGAAGAAAATTTGGAAAGGTGTAAACTCAATAAAAAGTTGTTCGGATATGGTAAGAGTGTGGCATTGTTGTATCCATACTCTCGACCCCATTCTTGTACGATGTTTCCTGCTAGACTCCTTGTGAATCAGAAACGGCTTAGTGAATTGCATTCAGCTGGGAAGTATAGTGATCTAAATATATATATCGAGGGATATGGTCTTGTTGCACAGTCTCATAAGATAATTGTCAACTTGTGGTGTGTTCCATTTGCCAAGGTAGGAAACTTTTAACAAGTTCGGATTCGGTTGTTTTGTCCTTCTATTGATTGAATTGGCTTAAGGACTTGTATTCTGTATGTCAGATGTTCACAAATGGAATGAGCGAGAGCATCTCATCAAGAGTTCATCTAAGAGACGTGCTGTTGGAGGCGTTCAAGATTATGCTAGAATTCATGTATAGTGGAGATCTCAATTTGGAGGACACTGCAGATTCTGGAACCTTGCTACTCCAACTTCTTTTGTTGGCTGGCCAATTCAGAGTCATTATTCTCTATCAGGAATGCTGCAAAACACTTTTAGAATGTCTATCAGAGGTAGCTAATCTTCACCTCAGCAGATAATGCAATGTAGCAAATGCCATTAGTCTTATTTTTCACTTTATTATAATGATATGCTTCTTGTCTGGCTAGCGTTATAAGAACGAAGTGGGAGTTGCGATTCGGGACAAAAGAAGAGATCCCTTTTGGATCATGAATTATTAGATATTAACACTTTTTTGTGTACATATTATATGTAGGGATGGAGTTCTCCTAGTGGAAGGTGGTGAATACAACAAGTTTTTGTATTATGCACAAGTTTAATGGACGACGAAGCAGACAAATTTCGGAAGTTATAGGGCTATTTCTTTCAAAGCTAACTGTTACAACTTTGTTGCAGGATGCTGTGTGTCCAATCCTGCAAGTTGTTTCATCGATTTCATCCTGTAAACTCATTGAAGAGACCTGCAAGAGAAAGTTCACAATGCAATTCGATTATTGTACAACAACAAACCTTGACTTCATTTTGTTAGATGAGGCAACATTTAGCAACATCATTCAGGTGGGTTCTCATTCTTGAGATGACGTTTGAGACTCGAGTCTTGAGACTTGAGACAACAACATTGACGATGGTCATATATGTTTCTATTCTTCATATTAAAACGGGGAAAAGGGAACCCTGCTCTCTGCAGTTTACATGGATGTTTAGCGTCTATTCTAGCTTAAATATAAGTGAGATGTAATGGTTATCAAAGAGTGAATGAAGTAGCTTAGTTTAGTTGTTAGACTAGAAACTAGTTGCCTCAGTTTGCATTGACCATCAGCATTGAAGTTCACTCTTTGGCTCCTTCCTTTATCTCTAGATTCTGTCTTGAAACTGGGGTAAAATGTCAAACCAAACAGTCTTATAAGAAATATGGCATTGCAGCATCAAGATCTAACAGTAACATCAGAGGAGAGAGTTGTCAACGCGATTCTGATGTGGTGCTTGCAAGCCAAGGAACTATGTGTGTGGGAAGCAGTGGATGAACTAGTTGCTATCAAAACCCTTGAGCTACTTTTTGGTGAGCGGCTTCAGTCTCTGAATGAACTGTTGCCATTTGTCCGGTTTCCATTGCTCACGCACAACTTACTTAAAAGGGTAAGTAGGGCTCCTGAGATATAATTTCACCAAATAAATCATTAAGGAGATTACTAAAAAGCTTTGTTTGATTATGCTACACAGTTGGATCAGAGCAACCTCTGCAAGCAGATTGACATTTTTCATGATCTTGTAAGTAACTTTCCTCCAATATAGCATTAGTACGAACGAGTAAGATTTGTTTCTTATTCTTTTTCGTGAATTTCACAGGTGAGGGAGGCAGTCACCTATCTGGATTTCGGACTGACTAACAACTATGGAGGAAATGACATGAAGTAAGAATCTTATACCTCTTCTTCTATTCTCATGAGCATCACTGGAGAATGATCATCATTAGCATATGCAACACAACGAGACGACAACTTTTCTAGCTTAAATTTTTTGTTTTGTATGTCCGTGTTCTATCTATGGTGGTTCACTTGAGAACCGCACTTACAATTGCCTTCTTGGTTTCAGCCTACGGTTTCAACATAGGAGATCCAGTTACAAGGAGCTGCAGTACATTTGTGATGGAGACAGCAATGGAGTTCTGTACTTAGCTGGAACTTCTTATGGGCAACATCAGTGGGTTAATCCTGTTCTATCAAAGGTTAGTTGTCTCTCTGTATTAGTCCCTTCTTATCAAAAGAAAAGGCATAATCAATTTCAGTGTTATATAATTTATTCTGTTGGTGTTCGGATTTCTAGAGAATCGACATAACAGCAAGCTGCCCAACTTCAAGATATACAGACCCTGAAGCTTTGGCATCAAGGACCTATCAGGTTTGGAACAAGCTCAAACTGTCGGTTAAGCTTCCTCTCCACAGTACCATTATTCGTCACTGATTTGCTTTGGTCTTTCTTCTAGGGAATGTGATTTGCTGGACCGAGAATGGAAGATGGACGAGTACGCTCGTGGTGGATGGTTGACATTGGCCATGATCATCACGTATTATATGATCGTCTCGTGCCTTGTTTGCTAGAACTAATAGCTCGCCGTTGCCTACTCCATAAGGCAAGCATAAAATTCGGATTCGTGTTATGCAGCTTATGTGCAACTACTAAACGTTGAGGCTAGACGGCTCAAGAGCATACACAAGGTCTTGGAGATTCCAGGTAAAGAGTTTGGTATCTAACTTGGGCTTGAAACCATTCGTTCCTATTTTCCCCGGACTTGAACTGAAACCGTGGCTCATTGGATCACAGGGCTCGTTGGATGCTAAGACATGGACAGACTTAAGAACACACAACGATGACCAATCAATGGGCAAACCAGGCCAGTTTGAGTCATGGCAGATCACCGGGCCAGATGCACTGCTGCCCTTCAGATTCTTTAGGGTAATGTTAACTGGTCCGACGACTGATGTATCGAATCCCTGGAACCTATGCATTTGCTTCTTGGAACTCTTCTTCTTCTTATTATTATTATTATGCTATATGTTTTTTGTTGAGAGAAAGAAGCCATTGTGCACACCATAAGAAGAAAAGTGTACCAATGCATATGTGGGGAGGGTTGGTGGTGGTCCTTTTCCTTCGTTCAAATAAAAAAAAAATCTTCATTTCTGGGACAACGATAAAAAATCGTGTAGAGAAGTAACCAATTACCAATCTTAAGGTGTCCATTTTCTTATACCCCATCCATATCGACTACTATAGCCAATTAGCCAGCAAAGTCATGTCACTGGAGTTCAGAATTCAGAGTAACGCCATACAGCGGCCTAATATGATAAGAAAGAACATACGGAATCGCGTTAAGAAAAAAAAAAAACTTGCATTCCACACATCAGGAAAGAAAGTCATACCAAGTGCCTTCAACAAGAGCCGTACAAAAGCTTTTACATCAAGTTTCTAAGGGTATCACGATCCTATTGTTCCCTCAAGAATCTCAGCCTCGTGAATTCAGGGAAGAAGCTCGCAAGTGAACCGTTATGAGAACAGCGAATAAGCACTGAAGATTATCCATGAGGAAGGCCAACTTATCTCCTAACAGGCGGTACAACGCCCCTCCCAGGTCCTCCACGGCCACCAGCAGCAGCCTGAGCCTGCACAAGGAAGTAAGTTCATAATTTAGACACCTTAAGGGAGCTATTTCATGCAGGAGTTTCCAGATCCTGGTCTAGGAACATTGAATAGTTCACTAAGCTTAGGTGACCTATGTTTTTGAACTGAAGGCAAATCAGTCCAAAACAATACAAGAGAAGAAACACATCTCTTAAGAAGAAGGGGGGGCTCACTTTAGCTCGCATGGCGACAGATCTTCCTCTTCCGACTCCAAGTGATGCACTCTTTCCCTTCACACAAGATTGAGAGACGCATAAAGAGTTGGGCACATAATGTACGAAATGCAAAAGATCCAAATCTCATAAAGGCGAAGAGTCTAATCACATCAAAGGATTCTTACCTTGATTCTAGCATCTAGACGCTTGAACATAGGAGCATTCTTTAGCATATCTGGTATGACCATAAACCTGTCGAGAGATAGCACATCAGGTTACTGCGTTCAAAAAAAAAATTTGCAGGTCGTAAATTAAGACGACTCTTCAGACACAAGAAATAAAAGGCCAACACTACCTGACTTTGCTGCCTCTGATGAAAACATGCTCAAGCTGTGAAACCTTGCCATCCTGCAGAGTGCCCTTGCAACAGTTAGTAACTTACAGAAAGCCCAGAGAACAGACAATAAATGGCGACAACCAAGAAAAAAATTGGTCCAATCTACTAAATTCGCGTATCTAGGTCCAGGATTATTCAAAAGGAATGGCGTCCAAACATTACATAGATCCTTGAACAAACTACAATTTCAACTTTAGTCTTTCGAGGGTGAAACTTCTCAAAGTGCCAATAATCACATATGAGCAAAAGAGCTAGCAGGCATTCCATGCCCCCCAGATTGAGGATGTGGAATAAACCACCAAGATACAGTCACTCAACAACATTGACTAGCTATGGATATACTACAAACGGAAGCAGCACAACTCGTCGATTCCACTATCTATGCCGTGGGCAAGAACGAAACTCCACACAAACATATACTACTGCTGACTCCAGACATCCCAAATTATGACTTCTACAGCGGCTTGCATCGCAGTACAGGGGAGAGAGCGATTACCCTAGAGGCATTTCGTTCAGGTTAGCAGGAAAACCATTTATGATAATCAATTCAACCTAGAAAGCTATTAGCTAAACCCTAGGGATTCCCCCATGTAATTTCAAACTAAACAGTAAACAAAACAACCACCTACACCATTCACTTTCCTGGAAACCAAACACTGAACGAAGAAGCCATTAAAAGTGAGTTAGAGAGCTAAACGAGCAATGACGGTACCTTAGCGGTGTAAGTAATACTCTCGAGCTGGCAATTCCAGTTGTCTTCGCACTCCACCATGCTCCCTCTGTAAAGCTCGCCGCTTTTCAGCTCAACCGTCACGATGTGGCCGGAGGCCTCGTGGAGTAGCTTGACCGGTATGCCCAAGCTTCTGCTCATCCCTCCGATTTCGCTGGTGCTTCTTCTCTTCTCGCTGGTTTCTTCTCTTGCGATCCTTTCTCTTCCTCTTCTAAACCCTAATTTTCACTCAAAATCTCACCGCCCTTTTCCCCCGCTTGAAGCTATTGCGTTTAATTTTGCAACAAACAAAGGAAGGGTAATTCCGTCTTTCAAGCTGTTTCCGGAAATCTAAGCCATCAAAAAATAAAGATTGACGAGATTGATTCTCAACCGTCCGATTTGATCACCTGGGCAGTCCACGAGATTACCTGAAGTGAGGGATTAAATGCAAATCAGTCCTTCTATTCTATCTTTCTCAATCATATAGTGCTTAATGTTTTCTTATTTACACATTTAACAAATATCCCAGAAAGCAACTTTGACGGCTGATGAGCTGGCACGTGGATCCTTTGCTCTCGTCGGTTTCTTTCCTTCCCAAAATCACGCCAAGCCCCAAAGGACACCAGAATTTCGCCATTTTGGTTGCAAAGGAACAAACTTTAATGGAACCCACTCCGCCTGGCTGACGGCTGAGATCGCCCAATCGAGCTCCCCGCAATGCAGACGTGTCAGAGGCTGAAGCTGCGAGGGCTCCGTGATTACTGTCTCAGCTTAAAGCTTACTTATTAATTTCTTCCTCTTGAGGAATGTGGAATTCGAGGAGCTTCACTCGAGAACGATGTTTGGCTCTCTGAGTCTGCTGCTTCAAGCGCCTGTTTCCGGGTCTGCTTCACTTTCTTCTCCTTCATTTTACTGGAAGAATTCCAAAAGGGTAACGACGTTTCTTGCGTTTCTGGGACTGGGTGATCGCAATTTATGTGTTTGTTTATGTTGGGTTTTGAGTGGGTTCTTTGTCTTTCATGAGAGAACAATACCCAATCTGGTATTACAACCACATTACTTATTGTCGCGTGAACGTTGTTCATATGGTTTTATCATGAAGTATAATTTTTGTTTCGATCGTTTGAGGAAATTATAATGGCCGAAGAAAGCAATCAGAATATCTACTGTCAGTCTCTACTCAGATTTTTCAGTTGTGCATTGTGATAGAGTTTCAGTACCAAGCCAAGCTGGTAGGATGGATTGATTCGTAAAATGGTATTAGAGCCAGAAGGTTGAGTTATTGAATTACGTTGGCTCTCCAGCTATGCATTTGGGATGTGGTTGAGTTCTAGGCTGGTCTCGATCTTCCTTCAAAAGTGTTCTTTTGTGATTCTGAAGCAGTGCTGCTTTCTGGATCTTCTCTTATTGTAGTCACATATGGAGGTTGTTGAATTTTTCACCTTTGACAGGCTGTTGGGGGAACTTGTGACTCTCTCAAGCTGAAACCACTGAGACAAACATTTGGACCTAACAGATTGACTGTTCACAACTGCAAATGGAGTTTTCCAGAAATCAATTCGTCGATAAGTGAAATGAAGGTAACTTGCACAACCTTAAAGCTGTATTGCCAATAACAAAGGGTAACTCTTATTAGCTTTCACTGTGTTTGTTTCTCATTGCTATTTGCAGCAAAATAGAGCAGTCCCAGCAGTTCTGACTGATGACAGTCGAGCTATGATGACCACAGAGGAAGAGATCGATAACATTGGTCTTCTTAGCAGTGATTCTGGCCTGCAACCTTTTAAGGATCACTTTAGATATAGGATGAGAAAATACTTGGATCAGAGAAAGCTCCTTGAAAAGCATGAAGGAGGTCTTAAGCAGTTTGCACAAGGTTACCTGAAATTTGGCTTCAATAGAGAAGGGAGCAGCATTGTCTACCGCGAGTGGGCCCCTGCTGCTGAGTGAGTTTTTTTTTTTTTTTTTTTTTTTTTTTGCTGTACATCAATATATGAACTTAGCAGATAGTCCTTTTGATTGGTTGCTTAGTAGACTAGTTTCTATTGTGTGTAGGGAGGCACAGTTGATTGGGGACTTCAATGGGTGGGATGGTTCCAACCATAAGATGGAAAAGAATGAATTTGGTGTTTGGAGTATAACGCTTCCGGACTCTGGCGGAAATCCAGCCATCCCCCACAATTCAAGGGTCAAATTTCGGTTCAAACATGGCGGTGGATCGTGGGTTGATCGCATCCCAGCTTGGATACAGTATGCCACCGTGGATCCCGCAAGGTTTGGAGCTCCGTATGATGGTGTTTTCTGGGATCCTCCAGCCCCTGAAAGGTGCAAACTTCTCAATATGCGCTTGATTTACTTTTTCTTACCGCCTTTCTCTCTTCTAATAGGGTCTAAATAATGGCCAATGGTATTACTTTCCCATAGTTGGTATATGTCTCATTCCACTACCAAAGCTAAGAATGTGAGATAATTCTGAAAATGCTCATTCTGTAATGCATATGCAGTTATGCACTGAGTAAACTAGCTAGATTTTGATAAAAACATCGAGAACATGGTAACCTTGTGCTGCTTAGCCAGCCAGTGACTAAATAGGTCTCTGATTGGCAATGTAGGTACCAATTCAAACATCCTCAACCACCAAGGCCGACGGCTCCTCGAATATATGAGGCACATGTTGGAATGAGTGGCTCAGAACCCCGGGTTAGCACCTACAGAGAATTCGCTGATGATGTTCTGCCCCGTATAAAGGCCAACAACTACAACACTGTCCAGTTAATGGCTGTGATGGAGCATTCGTACTATGCATCATTTGGTTATCACATCACCAACTTTTTCGCCGTGAGCAGCAGATCTGGAACTCCTGAGGACCTAAAGTATTTGATCGACAAAGCCCATAGCTTGGGACTGCGTGTGCTGATGGATGTTGTCCACAGCCATGCAAGCAACAACGTCACTGATGGACTCAATGGATTTGATGTTGGCCAAAGCTCACAGGAATCCTATTTTCACACCGGAGATCGTGGCTACCATAAGTTATGGGATAGCAGGCTCTTCAATTATTCAAACTGGGAAGTTCTTCGCTTTCTTCTATCGAATTTGAGGTGGTGGCTTGAGGAGTTCAAATTTGATGGGTTTAGGTTCGATGGAGTGACATCGATGTTGTACCATCATCATGGGATCAACATGGCGTTTAGTGGACAGTACAAGGAGTACTTTAGTGAGGCGACTGATGTTGATGCTGTTGTGTATTTGATGCTGGCAAATTGCTTGATACATGATGTGCTTCCAGATGCTACAGTAATTGCTGAGGATGTCTCAGGCATGCCAGGACTTGGTCGACCCGTCTCAGAGGGAGGTATTGGCTTTGATTACCGACTGGCGATGGGCATCCCTGATAAGTGGATCGATTACTTGAAAAATAAGACTGATGAAGAATGGTCTGTGAACGAAATCACGGGAAACTTGACTAACAGGAGATACACAGAGAAGTGTGTGGCCTATGCAGAGAGTCATGACCAAGTATGTGTTCACGGATTTCCTTTGTCTTGATTTTGTTAGGCTCCAATATCTTATGTGCAATGTGATGGAAGATACTAGATATTACTATGGAATTTTTAGTCTCGTAAGTGTGATTCGTCATTGTCAAACGTGCAGTCTATCGTAGGTGACAAAACAATGGCTTTCCTCCTGATGGACCAGGAGATGTACTCTGGGATGTCATGTTTAGGTGATACTTCGCCTAAAATAGAGAGGGGGATTGCGCTGCACAAGGTTTGCCTCTGCACCTTCAAAAGGTTGTAACTTACTCTGCTTCATATTGCTCTTTGCAACTAACCTAAACTTTTTTTGATGCTATTAACGGTTGCAGATGATACATTTTCTGACAATGGCATTAGGAGGTGAGGGCTACCTTAATTTTATGGGAAATGAGGTAAGAACTGCTGCTTCATAGCGGCAAATTTTAGGTTGATGAGAAGGAGACTAGCGTATTTTGCATATCAGATTCAGGAAATAATCCATATTTACATCTGGAGTGATCACCTTCTGTCTGTAGTTTGGCCATCCTGAATGGATTGACTTTCCAAGAGAAGGCAATGGATGGAGTTATGAGAAATGCAGACGTCAATGGAATCTAGTGGACAAGGAACATCTCAGATACAAGGTGTTGAGCCTCTCTCTCGAAGTTGCATTCGTAGTCTATATGTTATCTAACTTCTAAATACATATTCAAGACTGAAGTTGTTTTTATTTGTCTTGATTTTTCCAGTACATGAATGCATTTGACAGCGCTATGAACAAGCTCGACGAGATTTTCTCATTCCTTGCATCAACCAAGCAGATTGTGAGCAGCGTGGATGAAGAAGATAAGGTACATATGGATGCCATGTCTAATGGTTCGTTTGGGCGATGGATTCTGTAATCGCTGAATTTTGCTGTGTGTTATTCATTGTCATTGCAGGTTATTGTCTTCGAGAGAGGAGATCTCGTCTTTGTGTTTAATTTTCATCCAGAGAACACATATGAAGGGTATTTTCTGCCAAAATATACAAAAGAGTTAACAGCAACTTCTTCAGTCACTCTTTGGTCTTAACATCCGAATTCATTCTCAGGTGCAAAATTGGGTGCGACTTACCTGGGAAATACAGAGTTGCATTGGACAGTGATGCTTGGGAGTTTGGTGGACATGGAAGGGTGAGAACCTCTAGTTCAATCGCTCTCTAGTCTTTTTCCTTCATCACATTATAAAAGATTTTAGTCTAATAGAGAACAATGCTTTCCTTTGCCTTGTTGATTAATTATTTGATCTTCAATCCCTCGAGTCAGATCATCTTCATTTGCGTATCAACATAGTTAGTTGGTGAAACATTCATAGAGTAGTTTTCATTAATTTCTTCAGGTGGGGCATGACGTCGACCATTTCACCTCTCCTGAAGGGACACCTGGGGTGCCCGAGACGAACTTCAACAACCGTCCTAACTCCTTCAAAGTCCTCTCGCCACCTCGTACATGCGTAGTAAGTAGCATTCTCATCTATACACTTCTCTTTACATGTAATCGTGGTATGCTTGCCAAAGGTCACAACTTTTCATCTTTGTGCTTTGCTTGAAATGGTTTGCCTATCTAAGTCTCAACAAAATCTTTTCGACCTCAACTTGTTTCCTTAGGTTTACTACAATGCCGACTTGTACGAAGAGAGTAAATCCATTCATTTTGTGGCAAAAGAGCTCGAAGATGTCAAAGAATCTATGGATGAGCTGAAGCTGGTTGAAGATCTGCAAGTGATTACTGATCATGATGGTGGTGGTGATGTTAGCGCGAGCACGGAGATCAAAACGTCACAAGTGGTGAAGCCTAAGGAAGAAGAACCATCATCAGATGAAGACTAAATATGTTTCCTTTGTTTGGTTGTAGTGAAAAATAGAGATGCTAGAAGGCTCTTGCTGGGAAAAATGATCTTCCATCTGTAAATAAAAACCAAACGAGGAGCATTAAGCTTTCTTGAATAATTGTAATAATATGAAGCATTGAGTATTCGTTGTAATATGTTTCTCTTTCTCTACTATGGCTTCAATCTGTGTCCCTCCCTTTCTTTCTGCTCTTTAGCGACAGAAATGGCGGGAAGAAGACAAGCTGTTTAACCAGCTTAGTATTTCATCAATGGGCTAAACCAGGTTCTGACCCAGCAAACTACACCAGGCTTAATGGCCCATTTTCTCCTTTTTTATGGGTCGGCCTGTTTGACTTAACTAAAACAGTGAGATCTCAGTTGGCGGCAGCTCCGCGGTTTTTCGTTGGCAGACGGCGGCCACGAAGAACAGAGCGAGAGAAAATAAAGTTGGAAGAGTTACGGAAAATCGTTCCACTAATCTGAAGGATCTGGACGATCTCCGGGACGAAATTGAGAAGATCTGAGGCAAATCCGCCGTCGAGCAGGTGTCAAAAATGGCCGAAGAAGAGCGCAAGAACGAAGGGAAGAACCAGTACAGTATAATAATCCCAACCTACAACGAGCGACTCAACATCGCCCTCATCGTTTACCTCATTTTCAAGCATCTCAGGTCAGTTCCCCAGTTCTTTAGCTGCGATCTCTTGATTTCAGGAAATTGGTAATCTCGAATTTCAGATATCTGTTGAATCGTATGGAATTTCGGACGGGTTTGATTTAGTTCCTCCATTGTTGCTCTTTTCAAGTTGTGGGTTCTTTTGAATCGGTGAAAGGTGGCAACTTGATCCAGAGAAATTGCTTGTACAGTGAAATTGGGAATAACCCTTTTTAGTTTTTACAGCAACGGTGAGTTCCATGTGATTTGCAAGCAGGCTAGAGTTAGAACTTAGAGCTAAAATTTCACTTATATTGGGCGAGTTGATCACTGTTTCTTTTGGTCAGCTAGCTGTCGGCTGAGTATGGCGTAAAGCTATTGAAATTTAGTCTTGATATTTATAACCGAGATCTGCCTGATGAATTTACTTTGGAAAGTACCTCTGATAACACCACAGGTTAGTCCTAGTCGGCTCTATATTGCTCATGATTAACTTCTGTTCTGTGTGATTCAGGGATGTTGATTTTGAGATCATTGTTGTGGATGATGGGAGTCCGGATGGCACTCAAGATATCGTTAAGCAGTTGCAGCAAGTGTATGGCGAAGACCGTGTTGTAGGTTTCTCAATACCCATATATTGATCTCGAAACGGCTTTTAGGTTTGGTCATTCACATTCTGGTTCTTTGCAATGCAGCTGTTAAGAGCTCGACCCAAAAAGCTTGGTCTCGGTAGGTAGAGACTAGATAACCTTCTTCTTCATTTGATATTCATGTTGCATCATGCTGATTTGACTGGTTGATTACAACTTAGGTACTGCTTACATTCACGGTTTGAAGCACGCGTCTGGCAATTTTGTAGTAATTATGGATGCTGATCTATCTCACCATGTGAGTTCCAGTTATTTGTTCGTCTTCTTTACAAGGTTATCTTTTACTAGAAGCATTTTCAACATTCCTGATCTTGTTTCCTTGTGATCCTTGATCTGCAGCCAAAGTACCTCCCCAGCTTTATCAAGTAAGATATTCATAAATTCACTTTTTAAGGTACTTCATCGTGTTAAGGGTAAGGCGGTCTCGTTTTACCAATTTCCATTATCACCAGGAAGCAGTTAGAGACCGGTGCAAGTATAGTAACTGGAACCAGATACGTGAAAGGTGGCGGCGTGCATGGTTGGAATCTTATGCGGAAGCTAACAAGTAGAGGAGCCAATGTTCTTGCACATACATTCTTATGGCCCGGTGTATCTGACTTGACAGGATCTTTCCGGTACTTTTAATGTTAACTATTTCTGGTCCCAATTGATGTCCCATTGTTCATATTTCAACCTCAAAATTACTATTTGTTTGAAGGCTTTACAAGAAGTCTGTGCTTGAAGATATCATAACTTCAGTCGTTAGCAAGGGATACGTGTTTCAGATGGAGATGATCGTTCGTGCTTCCAGGAAAGGATACCGTATTGAGGAGGTACTCACTTCTTTCTCTCTAACCTTGCTTAATTTCAACCTACCAAACCAATATACAGTATACACCATCATCATGCATCTGAGCAGTGGTTTTATGCTACTCCCAGGTTCCGATTACATTTGTTGACCGAGTATTTGGAAGCTCCAAGCTTGGAGGATCAGAAATTGTGGAATACCTTAAAGGCCTTGCTTATCTGCTGGTTACAACATAAGCTTGTGTATTCTACATAGACTAAACATTTTTATACTGAATTTAGCTGATTCTTGACACTAACATACCGAAAGCAGTTCAATTGCTCGTCTGACGTCTCCCTTTGTAATTTCTTCTTCTGAGGTTTATTAGGGTTCCCAAACCTTCTGTCTGACACCTCTGTAGCTCCTTTCGTGTAATGGAACAAGATTCTTATATTCATAGGGTGGGAATCATTGTGTCGATACTCGATATATAGTGTGATCATTCAGTAACTTCCTATGATTGTGTTCCCGTATGCAGATCTGAACTGCTAATCTAAATACGCGAGCTTGATACGAACTGCTAATCTTAATACGTGGCTCGATCTACACCCCCGAACTACCTTGGTACAAACTTGTACATTACAAACAGGGGAAGATGAAGGGAGATGGAAAAGCTTTATAAAGGTACAATAAACATTGAAGATGAGATTCACTGATGAATGTCTTCAAGAAGCAGACTATTCACAGAAAGGAAAGAAATCCGCTGTTTTCCCCTAAAATGATACCAAACAGAAATGGTAACACAATCAACCAAAAGAACAATCAGAATTTAGACCCTCCTGACCGATCTCCGGACTCCAATATTCCGCTCACTTGGAAGAGCAGATCTCTCAAAGCTCATCGCCGGAGGAAGAGGAGCCGGCGGCGGCTTCTTGCTGTCTTTGCACATACTCCTCAACAAGTACCTCGGAGTCTCCCCACCGACCAGCCTCTGGCCGCCGCCGTAAGCCGATGCCACGGACTTCCTCAAGCTCTCCATCTTCCTCGTGGAATCCCTCCTCTTCGACGACTCCACCGTCACTCCCAGTCTGTACGACGGCGTCTTGGCGAAATCGTCTGCGGCGCCGCAGATCTTCTTCTTCCGCAGCCGCTCGTTCCTCCTGGCGGCGTACTCGTCGTACAGTTTCCCCCTCTCGAAGAACAGGGGACTCGAATTCGCGCTCAAACTCCCGCCGACGGATTTCGGTTTGGCAGCCAGATCTCCGTTGCCGAGTTCGTCGCGGACCTGCTTCGCTAGAGCACGCAGCTCTGAGGACATGAACCGGTACTCCGGCCGGAGTTCCGTACCGCCGACGTCGACATCAATGGCCAGTCCGCGGCTCGGTTTTGCCGATTTCATCAACGAACCTGTGAGAGAAAGAAATCAAATTAGAAGAGCAAGCGGCGGAAGGAATTCTAATTTGACCGACTAACCAGGAGTCTGCAAGGAGGCGGAGTTTGAGTGGAGGGCGCGGCGGGAGCGGAGGCGGATCGGCGATTTGGCGAGCGGCGGCTTGCGATTGAACTTCATCGTCGACATTTTTCCGATAAGGGTTTCCTTTCTTTCGCTTTCTTGGTTTTTGGTTGTTTGCTAAATGGCAATCAGAGAGCGTGGGTTTGAATAGAGAAAGGGGGGGGGGGGGGAGCGCCGTAACGGTAATATAAGCAGAAGATTGATGATGGCCGGGGTAAGACTTTCAATTTTGATCGGACGGTTACAGTTTACTTTCCCTCTCTGAGCGGTCGCCGGAAACGGGCTTTTATTTATGGCAAGTTATTAGCTCGTCCCGGGGAAATCCTTCTCCATTTGGGCCCAATGGGCTTGACTGGAAGGCCTAGTTAAATGGACCTTATGGGGATCCTATACCAACTCTAGGGTGAATTGTTGGCCAATGGTGTTGCAAATTAGCCAAAATTGATCATCGGTAGTTCGACGCTCAATTCAATAATAGTTCGTTGGTAAATTCTAAATTGGCTTAGTAAACGAGTATGAGGCTGAACTTATTCATGTTTGGCTCGCGAGATTCGCGAGCTATCTCCACGCTAGTTATTCTGCTATTTGAAGATTCGTTAGTATATATTAACTAATATTCAAAATGTGTGAACTAATATCCAAGTCTGCTAAGTATCTAGATAGCACAGATTAGTATTCAAAACATCACAAACTAGTATCCAGATAGCATATACCAACTAATATCTACAATCAACCAACTAGTATTCAATATAGATACTCTTATATGTTATCTGGATACTAATTATGTGTAGTTGATTCATGGTGGATATCAGTTAGCAAACTTTGAATACTAGTCTGTGCTCTCTAGATACTTTAGTACTTGGATATTAATTCATGTATTTTGGATATATGTTAGTTCAAGCTAGCGTGCGGCAGGAGTATGCTATACTCTTGCGTTCACACTACCATACGACCATTGAATTATACTATTTAGACCGTGAAATAACCAGAGTTTTTTGGAGCATGATACTATACTCTAACCTCTAATAGGTGAACTCTAGTCCCTAATTGTAACATCCCGTTCCGGCAAAACCCATATTTCGATCGCTAGAAAGTTCGCGATTTAAAATCGAGCATTTCGACACTATTTCGGCGAAAATCGGATTATCGATCGATCGGATAAGTATACGTATTAATTATATTTATATATATATATATATATATATATATATATATATATATATATATATATACTCTCCGTCCATTTAATTCACATCATCATCGTTTATTTCCATTTTCCACCGAGAGATCAAAAACCAGAGCGAGCGGAGAGAGCTTTCAGGGGAACGTCGGGGGAAAAACTCCAAGGCTCGATTCTTGAGCATAAGTGATCCAAAAATCCCGTAAGTAATGCCTAATTCATCTATACATCGTGATTTATCGATTTAGAGATTTAAAACGAGTTTTTGGTTCAGGAATTTCTTGAATTCCCGATAAGCCAAATTAGGGTTTCGGAGTATCCGGAAGCCGGATTGAGCCCAAATTTCATATACGAGCTCACTGCAGCGAGGTAATCAATCCTCTAGTTCTAATCCCTGAATTTCGGCTATTATTTAGGCCGGGGTCAAAACCGCTGAATTTAGCTCCGGCCAGGGTTTGATGTGTTTTTATCGAGAATTTGACCCGGAGCCCAGAACTAATATTGACGGGGATACTGCAGGGGATATTAGGACGGTCTCGGATTTTAATTCGGGGTTCGTTTGGGAAATTGACGTTTTAGTACGGGATGCTAGAACCGGTGTTTGAACGACCAGAACTGGTGAGGGATTAGCACGGCATACCGGGTTTGTCGTATCACGATAATTATATTGATGCTTAGAATTGACCTAGGTGAACTAGAATGGCATGATTAGGGGTGTATGAACTTTTGTGCTATATGATGAACCCTGGACTACTGTATGATATTATTGACTTGCCCTAATCGATATGAACCTTGTTTATGTGGATGATTGCCTACATGTTGCCATTTGTGGCTTAACTGTTGATATGACTTTATGGTTGTTCGATAAGGGTTTTTGACATGGTGTGATTTTATGGTTGTATTTGGATCCATAAGTGGGGGAATAAACTTCCCAGGGTGATATTATGATGTTTAAGGAGGATGAGTTGCACGAGGGTTTATCCCGAGGAAGTGCAATTATACGACTCCTGATTTACCTATGTTGGGCCAATTATGGCCAGGTCAAGTACATGTGCAATTAACGAATTATGATTAAGCAAGATGAGATATGAATCATGTACAAGGATACCAAATATGAGTGTTGTGGTCTCACGGTCAACTACATAGTAATTAGGGCTCCCTATGCTATTACTCTATTATGATATGTATGATAGTCACACCTCTCATGTGGTGGTGACTGAAGAATTCTTACGAGATATGACCACACCCAGAGCGGTGTCGGGGTATGACTACACCCATAGTGGTGTGGGGTATGTATGACTACATCCGACGGGATGTGGGGTATGTTTCCCGGGAGAGTTATTAGCATGGGAGTAGCCAGGCGCCTATAAGTAAAACATGATAAGATGCATATGCATAAGTCAAGGTGGTTGAGTCTTTTGCCTATTGGGATGTCAGAGAGCTGAGATATGATCCCAGTGCTTTGGCTTGTTTGCTAGATGTATGGTAGGGGTATGCTCTGTTATGAACTCACGATGCTATGATTATCTCACTCAGCTATGAGCTGACCCTCTTTTATTCTTCTTCTCTGCTTATGCTATGTGTAAGCAGATCATCAGCAGCAGCAGTAGATAAGTGTTAGGTGGGAGAGGAGCTAGAGTTGAAGCCAAGATGAGGTATGGTCTTCAACTATTCTGTGCTTGGACTACTACTCGGGATTTTGGCCAGTGATCCACACCTTTTTGTAAAAATGTTTTGAGAACGTTTTTCATATGCATACTAGTTTCTGATCTAGTGTGAGATATCCATAGGTGTGGAAAGTTGATGATATGTGTATATGTTGTGTAACTGTGTAAGTTGTGACGATTATGGTATGTATAAGTATGATATGCAGTTGTGGAGTATGAAAAGTGTGTCTATGGCTAAGAAAAGCCAATGCATATGGTTGTTATTATATATGTTTGTGATGAATTATTTTGCAGGATAAGTTGCAAGAACTGTTAGCCCATTACGCGAGTAAATCATGTCGCAATTTTATTTGGGTAAATTTTGATAATTAATGTAACGCCCGAGATTAATTCCGCTGCAATTTTATAAACAATATGATTAGGCAAAACGTATAGGGTAGGGTGTTACAGTTTGGTATCAGAGCTTGTTTGTTTTCTGCATTATGGGTATGTTACTTTCCCTCTTGAGGACTGATCACCCTCGTAAGGGGAGGGAGTACTCCATACCTGTATTTGCACTAAACTTTCCAGGATTGGGACCAAAGGTGATGATGTGTTGCATAGTCAATTGCACATGGTCAAACATGTTTTTGAGCATTGGAAAGAATCTTGAAAAGTTATGGTTTAAAAGGTTTTGAAAATTTTATGGAGTTTTTATCTTGTTGTCTAAGTAATGACTTTGGTAGAAATTTTTAATGGTGTGTGGATCACTCTAAGGCCAATGTTTCCTTGTAGCTTGCATAGAAGTACTTTCAGTGTTACTACTAACCGATCGAGAAGTATGGTGGCTAGCTATGCAATGTAGTTGATTTTAGATTATGTCAACAAGATGAGTTGTGGTGGTAGAGATTTTAACATGGATATGATTCTTGATGATCTGGTGACAACCATTTTGTAGGTTGATATAACCTTGTATTACTGGCAACCTACGTTGCAGGTTAACAATCTTGCTTAATAAGTTATGTTTTGAACTTGCTGATGTGCTTTTGTTGTGATAGCCCAGTATAGGTTTTTCAAACCTAAACATGGGAACTTGAGGTGTTATGTGTTACTCTCTATGTTATGAATCTCCTAACCTAAAAGTAAGGTAGTAAGAAGATTTGTGATAGTGTAGGTTAGGGGGGGAACGAGCGGATATGTACTATTGACTCAAGATTAGATTTCGGGGACGAAATCTTTTAAGGAGGGGAGAATTGTAACATCCCGTTCCGGCAAAACCCATATTTCGATCGCTAGAAAGTTCGCGATTTAAAATCGAGCATTTCGACACTATTTCGGCGACAATCGGATTATCGATCGATCGGATAAGTATACGTATTAATTATATATATACTCTCCGTCCATTTAATTCACATCATCATCGTTTATTTCCATTTTCCACCGAGAGATCAAAAACCAGAGCGAGCGGAGAGAGCTTTCAGGGGAACGTTAGGGGAAAAACTCCAAGGCTCGATTCTTGAGCATAAGTGATCCAAAAATCCCGTAAGTAATGCCTAATTCATCTATACATCGTGATTTATCGATTTAGAGCTTTAAAACGAGTTTTTGGTTCAGGAATTTCTTGAATTCCCGATAAGCCAAATTAGGGTTTCGGAGTATCCTGAAGCCGGATTGAGCCCAAATTTCATATACGATCTCACTGCAGCGAGGTAATCAATCCTCTAGTTCTAATCCCTGAATTTCGGCTATTATTTAGGCAGGGGTCCAAACCGCTGAATTTAGCTCCGGGCAGGGTTTGATGTGTTTTTATCGAGAATTTGACCCGGAGCCCAGAACTAATATTGACGGGGATACTGCAGGGGATATTAGGACGGTCTCGGATTTTAATACGGGGTTCGTTTGGGAAATTGACGTTTTAGTACGGGAGGCTAGAACCGGTGTTTGAACGACCAGAACTGGTGAGGGATTAGCACGGCATACCGGGTTTGTCGTATCACGATAATTATATTGATGCTTAGAATTGACCTAGGTGAACTAGAATGGCATGATTAGGGGTGTATGGACTTTTGTGCTATATGATGAACCCTGGACTACTGTATGATATTATTGACTTGCCCTAATCGATATGAACCTTGTTTATGTGGATGATTGCCTACATGTTGCCATTTGTGGCTTAACTGTTGATATGACTTTATGGTTGTTCGATAAGGGTTTTTGACATGGTGTGATTTTATGGTTGTATTTGGATCCATAAGTGGGGGAATAAACTTCCCAGGGTGATATTATGATGTTTAAGGAGGATGACTTGCACGAGGGTTTATCCCGAGGAAGTGCAATTATACGACTCCTGATTTACCTATGTTGGGCCAATTATGGCCAGGTCAAGTACATGTGCAAGTAACGAATTATGATTAAGCAAGATGAGATATGAATCATGTACAAGGATACCAAATATGAGTGTTGTGGTCTCACGGTCAACTACATAGTAATTAGGGCTCCCTATGCTATTACTCTATTATGATATGTATGATAGTCACACCTCTCATGTGGTGGTGACTGAAGAATTCTTACGAGATATGACCACACCCAGAGCGGTGTCGGGGTATGACTACACCCATAGTGGTGTGGGGTATGTATGACTACATCCGACGGGATGTGGGGTATGTTTCCCGGGAGAGTTATTAGCATGGGAGTAGCCAGGCGCCTATAAGTAAAACATGATAAGATGCATATGCATAAGTCAAGGTGGTTGAGTCTTTTGCCTATTGGGATGTCAGAGAGCTGAGATATGATCCCAGTGCTTTGGCTTGTTTGCTAGATGTATGGTAGGGGTATGCTCTGTTATGAACTCACGATGCTATGATTATCTCACTCAGCTATGAGCTGACCCTCTTTTATTCTTCTTCTCTGCTTATGCTATATGTAAGCAGATCATCAGCAGCAGCAGTAGATAAGTGTTAGGTGGGAGAGGAGCTAGAGTTGAAGCCAAGATGAGGTATGGTCTTCAACTATTCTGTGCTTGGACAACTACTCTGGATTTTGGCCAGTGATCCACACCTTTTTGTAAAAATGTTTTGAGAACGTTTTTCATATGCATACTAGTTTCTGATCTAGTGTGAGATATCCACAGGTGTGGAAAGTTGATGATATGTGTATATGTTGTGTAACTGTGTAAGTTCACGATTATGGTATGTATAAGTATGGTATGCAGTTGTGGAGTATGAAAAGTGTGTCTATGGCTAAGAAAAGCCAATGCATATGGTTGTTATTATATATGTTTGTGATGAATTATTTTGCAGGATAAGTTGCAAGAAATGTTAGCCCATTACGCGAGTAATTCATGTCGCAATTTTATTTGGGTAAATTTTGATAATTTATGTAACGCTCGAGATTAATTCCGCTGCAATTGTATAAACAATATGATTAGGCAAAACGTATAGGGTAGGGTGTTACACTAATTCTCTAATCTCTTATTTATGGGCATACTTCATCATACCTATCTTCTATCGTATCTTGAGTAAAATCAAAAGTATAGTATACCTTGATATTAGGCGGCTTTTAGGGTACACTGGGTGAGATCTGGGTTACCGCATACCTTGAGTATGAACAAGCTATCTAGACCTCGAATTAGCAGGATTTTTGGGTTGGATAATATACCCTAACCCTTAATGAGTGAATCCTAGATCCTAATTATCTAAATCATAAACTATAAACCCTAAGATGGTGCATTCATTTTTTGCCTATATTTGGACGAATCATAACCTTCGATCATTGTTTCTAATTAAATTGATCTTGGGATATAAGATTTAGAGAATTAAAACCTATATTTTGATCTCTAAGGGTTGGAGTATAGTATCATGTCTGAAAGATTAGTCAATTCAAGGTTTGGATAACGTTTTCATATTAAAAGTGCTACTTGCCTATCCCCCATTCCCGGGATAGAGATCGCGGTTTTACCCCCATAACATCAGACAACCATTGGGGTTGTCTATCGTTCAATATGTAATATATAAAGAGGCAAATCCTAAGATCCTGCTATTTATTTCTTATCCTCTCCCACAACCCCCTTTATGGAGAATAAAAGGGTAGGGATGACAGGATCATAGCTCAATATGATTTTATTCTGTTCATCGTATCAGAGGTTATTTTCTTTTTTGGCTTCTTTTCATTCTTCTTTAGCACCTATGGTTGTGATCGGAGGTATTTAGCCCCCAAAAGGGATTGGGATTTTAGGTCATTTGGAATTCCAATACACATTCATGATCCTCGGTTTTGGACGAACTGTCGACCAATGTTGTAACGATACTTCATTATTGGATCAATTTATTCATCTATATTGAAACTCGACACACACTGTAGCCATCATGATGATTAAATTCTCTAATCTCAACTCATTCCGTTTTGGATGTTAGTTTTTTTTATCAAGACACTTAAATTTAGTATATTATACAATATGTATCAATTGTTAATTCTTGAAGTTTAGACTATACCTCAACCCGTGGTCATTGTTTATATGTTGGCTTAGAATCTCAATCTAAGACACTCACACACACTATCAAGAATTTTGGTCTTAACATGGTCGTTGAATGTGTAATTTTCAAAGATTTTATCACTTATATATTAATAATTGATAAAGAGTGTCTACAATACACACATATTTCAAATGCATTTAAAATGTCTTATCGTTTGAACAATATCGGTGGATTTCATTTGATTATTTGCATTAACTTATTATCTTATACAACATATATCAATTCTTGTTTCTCGAGTTTGGATGAACCGGAAACCAATTTTGAGAGTTGAGAGGATTGGATAAAGATACTTGATTGTTAGATAAATATGTTTATCCCAATTGACTATCTTACTAAAAAGGCAAAATGCACCTGTGTAGCCAAAACTTTGACGGCTTGGCCAAATATAGATACTTTTGGCGAAATACCAAAAATAGCCAATTCCATCCAATTCTTTAACAGTGTTATCTAACAGTCTGACTGGACTAACGGAAGTGCACACTTGGAAAATTTTTATTATAATTAATTATATTAAAAAGGTAAAAAAAAGCCAAAAAAAGAAGAAGAGACCTCTCCGTCCTCCTCCTTTTACCCCTAGCCCCAATTCCCTTCCCATGTTGACCTCCCCTCTGATGCCTTCATTTCCCAGAAATTCAGCCGCCCACCTCTGTTCCACCCAAACACACCGGCACCACTGTTTCTCTTCCTGTCTTCGAGCACATCAAATCCCTTAAACAAATCCCCACCGAAAACTGTCGACCCCACCGTTGCTCTCGCCGCAAAATCAATTCCAACTGTATGCTCTCGCCGAAAAACTCACATCCCCAGTTCCTTCGAATCTTATCCTTCCTCCTATTCCACGCTCTCCTCCAGCTCCACTGAGTGCCGCCCTTGATGTATTTAGGCTTTAGATGTCGATCCGACCAGTGCCTCTACCAGGCCAATTACAGTGATGTATCCTTCAACGTCGGCGACTTCGTCACCAAAACTCTCTCCCTCGGCAGATCAGGATCTGCATCCAAAATCACCCTCGGATGCGGCCATGACAACGAATGCCTCTTCGTCAGCGCCGGTATCCTCGGCTTCGGCTTCGGCGGCGGCATGCTCTCCCTCATCTCCCATATTCGAGCCTCCTAGTTCTCCTACTGTCTCGTCAACCGCGATTCAACCTCTTCCTCTTTTGCACCAGTAGCAACTCCAATAGGGCAATATGAGAAGAAGATGTTGTACTTTAGGTTTTTTGGTTTTTGGAATTGGGATGGTTTCTTTTTGGGGTTTTCTGTTGATTGGATTGGGGGGTTTTGTTGTTGGGGAGAGGAAGATGGTTGCATAATCAGATTAGGGATTCTTTCGATAGGATTAGGGATTTTTTTGTTAGGGGTAGAAGGTGGTTAGATGAGAGAGAGGGAGGAGAGCAATTACGTGACATGTGAGTCTAGGTGAAAACATGACGTGTTGTCCAGTTGGTAGCCACATAAGCGTAATGTTCACTTAAACTAACAGAGTTAGAGACGGTGTTAAAGTATTTGACGGAAATGGCTATATTTGTCATACAATTTCAAAAAATATGGCTATAAGTGGTATTTATCCAAACTTGGCTATTATTGGCACAAACGTGAAAGTTTTGGCTATACAAGTGTATTTTGCCTACTAAAAATTGCATACCTTTATTTGGTAAATGCCTAGGTTATTAGTTGATGAAACGTGATGTTTATCGTAGATTGTCAACAAAGATTTCTCTAACATTCACAAATATTATTTTTCAAGGAATCTTGTGTCTCATCCTAGGGTATGAAGTCAAAGTTCGTTAACAATCATACTTAAGTCATTTTGAAAATTTTGATTTATAATCGTCGACGATAACTCCAAGTTTGAAAGAAAATTTCTTAGCATACGACATAGGACCTCAATAGAGATTGTTCAATCAAACATGATATAAAGCAAATATTATTAATGTGAACTTAGGACACATTATAAAATTATTGCACTTGCAATTCCTCTTCATTTGAGGAGTTTATGGTAGAACATGATATGACTGAATAAGAAGTCTTTAATAAATAAATAACTGTAACTACTCGATCAAGATTATACTCTAACATTTTGTTAAATAATAATTGTTTTATTTTATAGAATATACTTTACGAATAAGAGAGTGTTTCATTGCAACAAAATATAAAGTAATATAGTTTATTTTTCAAAGGTAATGGAATGTCAAATGTTTATTTTCTGTCTTTTCATATATATTTTGTTTAATCGATGAAAATATTATTGTTTATGTGTATGTTTGTTTAATTTTTTCATCAAAATGTAACTTATCATTCAATTTTAGTAAAAATGAGTAGAAAATTTACTTGGTAAGGTTTAATCAGATACTTTTTATTTGAACAAATGTGATATATGTCGCTCTCTGTTTTCTATTTATATTTTGTTTACTTGACAAAAAATTATTATTTATGCGTGTTTGGTTAAGTTTATCGGGATTTTTCCAGAAATAGCACCTTTAAAAAAAATTACAAAAATAGCACCCATCCAAAAAAATTTACACTAATAGCACGTTTTTTAATGGACCGCACCTTAGAGGTGCGTTTTATATTTAAAGGTGCGGTTTAGGTGCAGGCACCTCAACCTCCTTTTTTGCTTCTTCTTCAGCTGCTGGAGATGCCGAGGCAGGGGCCTCTCTCTCTTGTGCCCGAGCAGGTGGATCAACAGTCATCTTGCCACTCCTGGTTATGATGGCATTGCAGTGCTCATTCGGGTTCTGAGGATGAGGGATGGTCTGACCGGGTAGAGTACCAGGAGCCCTTTGTGCCACTGCTTGAGCCACGCTCCCCAGCTGGGTTTGGATATCCTGCAAGACAGCCTGTGTGTTCCTCTGGCCAGCTTCAAGAGCCAGGAATTTACGCGACGCCTTTTCCATGAACTGCTCTATAGTGTTGAATTTCTGAGCACTAGAACTGGCGAGAGAACCCACCAAGTCCCGCAGTTCAGCCATCAGATCATTCTGCACTGGGGTGGCAGGGGCTGCAACTGGCTGCTGGTAAGGTCGCGGCTGTGATGGAGCAGCATGCCCCTACATGGGCTGGTAGAGAGACTGCTGCTGCTGCTGGAATTGCCCCTGTCTGGGCTGATATGGTGGCCTCTGGAAGCCCGGTGGTCCCTGAGGGACTGGTGGTCTAGAATTTGCCCCGCCCCATGAGAAGTTAGGATGCTGGCGCCACCCCTCATTGTAGGTGTTACTGTAGGGGTCATTGCGCCTGACATTATTGATGAAGTTCACCTGCTCCTGGGGTGTGGTCGATTCCTTCATCGCTTGGCAGTCTTCCACTGTATGATGGGTGCTCTCGCACCACTGGCAGAGCATCGCCTGCTGCTGTCCGGTCCCTGGAATCATCCCAGAACGATCGATAGCTGAAACCAGCTTCGACACCACCTGCACCAAATCAGAGGAATGGTTTCCCACAGAATGTACACCTCGGCTTGGTGCTCTCCTCGACCTCCTAGCAGTGCCCCAATCATACCCGTTCTCTGCCATCTCCTCAAAGAGTTGATTCAGCTGTGGCGGTGTTTTAGTCAGCATGTTCCCGCCACAGACCGAATCAATCAGCTGCTTATCTTCTAGGAAGAGGGCATGATAGAAGGTTCCCACCTTGAAAGCATCGTTGAAACCATGATTGGGACACCTCAGGAAGAGACTGTTGTATCTCTCCCAAGCATCCCGGATGGTCTCATCTTCATCCTGGGTGAAGTGGGTGATCTGCTTCTGCAAGTCTGCCGTCTTCGACGGAGGATGGTAGCGGGTAAGAAACTTGTCCGCCAGGTTGGCGAACGTGGTGATGGAGCCCGGAGGTTGAGTGCCGAGCCACTCCTTGGCCTGCCCCTCCAGGGTGAATGGGAAGTACCTCAACTGGATGGCATCTGCGGGGACCCCATTGATCTTGATTCCATCAATGAGCTCGTGGAATCGCCTGAGATGTGATCGGGGGCACTCCCCCTCTTTGCCACGGAACATCACTGAACCGCGCAGCATGGTGATTACTGAGGTGCTCATCTCGAAATTATTGCTTGGGATATGAGGGTGTTGAATGGGTGACCTCATGTCTGCAGCCCTGGCGGTCCAGTAGGATCCCATGGTCTGCTCCCCAGGATTGACCACATCATGGTCCTGTGGATCAGCCATCTCCTCTTCTTCAGTTATCTGTAGCTGTGCTAGCGCCTCCTCCGCAGCCAGTCGCGCCTTTAGAGCCCGCTTGAAGTTCCTGCAGGTCCGTTCAAGCTCCTGGTCTAATGGTAGTAGATCTCCCGACTGGCTACGGGTCATGCACTACCTGCACACAATCAGCAGAAACAACCCGTGAAGGCACACAGGTGGAAGAGATAAAATGCAATAAAGAAAAAGCTAGAGTAACAAATTCTCACGTTTCCCCAATAACCTAGAGGTTCCCCGGCAACGGCGCCAAAAACTTGATGCTCTAAAACACAACACCAAACTGCGACCAAGTATAATCGCAGTCTGGGAATGCAGTAAAGTGACAAGTTATATTATCAACCCGGGGTCTAGATCTACTGCTTACTCAGTGATTCTCTATTATCTAGCCAACTAAGTTAAGTGTTTGTTGTGTAAAAGCAAAAGCAGAAAGAAAGCAGGAATTGATACGGTTTTCTCAAGCAGGTAAGAGTCACTCGGGAATGAGTCCCCCTAGCTCCTTAGTTAGGTTTCAATTGTATTTCCCTGGGTTGATTTACTGTTGATTAGACTGCGGAAGATCCGACAGTAGCTTGGAATCTCTTAAGCTGACCAAGCCCTCTCAGTCTAACTACCCGGCAGACGACTAGTCTTCACCGGGATAGAAAGCTGAAGCAGTAAGAACAGAACTCCACTACTGGAATTGGATTCCAGTACAAAGCAGTAAACTGGCTAACTCTCGTATAGCCAATCTCCTACTACCGAATGATGAGACTCTAGCAACCTAATCAGATTCTATCTATCTCAGATTGCAGCAGGAATCAGAAAAAGTTGATCATACTTCAATTGACTCAATAAACATGCAGTAATATCATCCCAAGTCATTACAATCAATCCCTAACACATAGAACTAGGGTTCTTCATCCCCAAGTGAGAGAGAGGTTCTACTCCATAGAGAGAGAGAGAGAGAGAGAGAGGAAAACAAGGTACAAAGCAGTCATACTCATTACAATGGGAAGAATCTGCTCTGGGATGATGATTTCCACTCCTGTGACGATCTCCAAGCTGGATTTGATGAAACCCAGCTCCAAGATAGCTTCTAGGATGTGTTCTTCGTCCTTTCTCTCTCTAGAGCTCTGTTTTTGCTCAAAAAGTTCGATTCTCTCACTTGCAACCCGAAATTGGGTTAAAACCAGGAATTCCCGACTCACACGGGCAGGGCCACACGACCGTGTGACATACCCAGTTGCCCGTGTGAGGTCAAAACGCGGCGTATCATTAAGTCGAAATTCAGGCTTCCCACACGGCCAGGATCGCACGTCCGTGTGGGATTTCCATCCTGCCCGTGTTTGCTCTCGACGAAAATCACACGGCCACAAATGTGAGTTGCACGGCCATGTGATGTCCAGGAATGCCCGTGCGGCTTCCTTAGCACCTCGCCACGCGTCCGATCTTCGTCCAATCGACCCCAAACTCGCTCCCAAGCCTCCATTCACGTACTAGGACCTGAAATATCACAAACAAGCACAACCTAGCGTGAAATCGGCCTAAAACACGAGAATCAACATCTCAAATGGTGTAAGAACAGGGGTAAAAACATGTGTAATTAACGGTCTATCAGGGTACATTGATCGACCCATGTTGACAATTTAAATACTTGCTCTATACTGCACCCGGCTAGAATTTAAAAACTTGGGCTCTAGTCGGGATTAATTTGTGGTGTAGTTTCGTGCGAGTCAAGTTTTTGGTGCCGCTGCCGGGGAACATCGGTCCATTGTTTTGAAAAGGTCGCTTAGTGTTACTCTAGCATTTTCTATCTTGCCTTTTTTGGTGTTTTGTGTTTTGTGTTTCGTGTTGTGTTTTGTTTACCCACTCTTCGTCTTGAAGGGTGGTTTGTGTTTGTTTGATTTATTTTTTGTGTTTTTGTTTGTGTAGGTTATGAATCATGGATCCAAATGGCTTCTACAATAGTTGGGGGTATCCACAACCACCCGAATGGGGGTACCCCAGAGCTTCATGGAGTGAACAAGAAGGGGGAAGCCAAGGATTCGGGTTCTATAACTAACCCCCCTTCCAAGAAGAACAACCATACCAATGGGGGTACGAAGAGGCTTCCCCATATCAAGAAGGTTTCCCTCCACAACCCGAGGAGAAATCCAAGTTGGAGTTGGCCATGGAGGCCTTCATGGGACAATCATCAAGACCATGTGCCACTCCACAACCAGATCCAAAGAGAAACTGGGAGCTCATGGTGGAAAAATTTTCCCGGGGTACCGACGGAGGATGCTCCAACTTGGACCTTCCCATGACCGCCCCTATCGACTCAACCTGTCTTCGGGAATCGGAGGAGCTCCGTCGACGCACGGAGAGGCTAGTAGGGCTTGTAGAGAAAGCATGTTCACAACTTGCTCACAATCACCTCCAACCATTGGAAGAAAGAGAGGAATTCGAAGAGGCGAGCCATGAGACCTTTGGAAGAATGAGCTCCGGCATGGATTTCCAACCCCTCCCTCCTCCCGGTTTGACACTAGAAGAGAAAGTGGCATGAGCTTGTGAAAGCTATTGCCTCTCATTATTGGAGGATAAAGAGGAGGTTGAAGGAGTGATCAATGATAACTGTGTGGAGCAAGAAGAACTCACCCCAGAGAGCTCCCGTAGTGAGGATGAACAAGAAGGTTGCATTGATGACTCCCATCACTTTTCCCTTCCCGAAAGCAACATTGATGACCAAGACATGAGTGTGGAGGAGCAAGAGAATCCCTTCTATGACCTTATATTTCATTTTGCCCTCAAATTCGTGCTTGGAGACATGAATGGGATGGAGAGAGAAGAGGTTGAAGAGGAGGAAGCGAGCCTTAAAAAGGAGGAAGGTCTTGAGTGTTCCCAAAGGGAGGAAATTGATGAAGAAGGAAAGGAGGTTGAAGATGAAAAAGAAGGTTCAAGTGGAGTCCAAGATGAGGACGAGGTCGAGGGGGATGAAGCATCCACAAGTTACGAGGGCTATGAAAGCTTTCCACCCAACCTCGATGCGCTTTTGGAGAAGGACCCATTTGTGGCTCTTTGCCAAGCCAAGTCCAAACCATCGGCGATCACTCTTGGTGGATGCGATGGAAACCAATCGAGTTTTCACTACATGGTATGGGGCAAAGAGAAGAAAGAAAAAGGAAAGAAGAAGAGGTCTCGTGGGTGGAGCCTCAAAGCCACTCAAGTTCACGAACCCTCAATCATGGAATCGTCCAAAGCTCGTGACTTGAGACACCACCTCACCGACGAGAACCTCAACTTCAAGGAGGTTTTTGGGTGGATCAAAACTTGAAGAGCAACCGTCCGGCTCACGACGTTAAAGAAGCGCTTGGTGGGAGGCAACCGAACCATCAACAATTTACATTTCTTTTCCATTCAATAAGAAGACCAATGAAGAGATTTTGGTGGTTTTTTGCCGTCTCCTTTCTCTTCTGGATCTCACCCGCCCTCCGCTCCCAATCACCAACAATCTCAACTTGACCGGTAACATCGTTTTATCCCCTTCTTTTACGCCATTGAGGGCAATGTCGAGTTTAAGTATGTGTGTGTGTGTGGGGGGGGGGGGTGGGTAGTCCATTATGCATGTGGGTGTGAATTTTGGTGTGATTTTTAATGCTTGGAGCCTTGATGTATGCCGAAATTTGAAAAAAAATTGAGGGCTCCAAGCAAAGCTTGTTCAAAATGGTCGGTTGGATGATGAATCTCGTGCTTATTTGGCATCGTTCTTGAATTGTTGCATATAGTTGAGTGCATCCTATTAAGATAACTGAGAGTGCATTAGGATTGTGCAAAATCTTAGTTCTCATGTGTGCTTAAATGAATGGAATGTCTTGACTTGGTTACTCTTCGATTACAATTGCCATGTATCGAGTTTGTGAATGTTGAATAGACGATGGGGCGGCTAGGTAGTCTGTGAGTTTTGAGCCGATCGTTTTCTTCTGGTGTGATAGTTCCCTCTCAACATGGTGTGTAGCCTCATAGTTATCATTAACGAGTAGGATGGAGGCATAGGATTAGTCCACACCCAAATGTTGATTGTCCCAAAATGTATTATCCACTAGTAAACCCCTTTGAGCCTTGTGACTTCGAGGGTCGTTCTTAAGTTAGGAGCTTCATGTTTGTGAGCTTAATTGTGTTGATATAACTACCCCAATCCTTTCTTCGTGTCTTTACATGAGTCATCCTTGTATCCTGGAGCTCTCACTTTTGAGTTCCATTGAGGTTCTACATAGGAAGATTATTTGAAGTTCTTGCTAGGAATGAAAAATGAAGTGTAATGTTAGAGTGAGTTGTTGAAAAGAGAGTATTGGTCGTTAAATGTATAGGTGACAAGTGTTTACTCTCTAGTGCCCCCTCAAAAAGAAAAAAGAAAAAAAAGAAAGAAATGAAAAAGTGGTAATAAAACGGGGTAAATAAAGTAGAGAGTGCCACGAAAAACCAAAGTGTATGCTCTAGGAGGGGTTTCTTGGCACTCAAGTCACTGAAACCACCACATTGTTGTAGAACTCCTTCACTACCAAATCGGAAGGTGATAGCAAGAGAAGACCGAGGAAGAGCGTTTAAATGTAGTTCATGATGGGTGATCGTTTGGAAGGGAGAAGTAAGGCTTTTGGCCGATGCTAGTGGCCTTTGTTTGTAGAGAAGGTTCTTAGTCGAAACCATAGAACCTTCAGATTTAAGTTGAATATGTAGAACCTCATGTTGTGCTTGCCACCACCCAAAAGGCCTTTTCCCCATGTCCAAGACAATTGCCAGTCATCTGAACCCGCGTCTAAGACCTCCGGACGAGCTTGTGACGACAACTATCCCGTGAAACCGTGGTGGTGCAATGGTAGGGATGAGTGATGACGATTGTGCACATATTTAGCACCAAAAGGTCCTGACCCCACTAGTCGAGAGTGAGCGATTCATTCTTGTTCTTGCATGTTCATATCTATCCCGGTGAGGACCTATGTTGCCCCGTTGTCTGTTCCTTTGACTTGAGATCTATGCATGGTCGGTTGTGATTGATTAGTGGCCCGGTTGAGACTTGCATTGATTGTAGATAGAATGAGAACTTTTCATTTGCCCATTTTTTATGCAATTGAATGTCATTTGTGGTGGATGCCGGAATTGTTTGAGACGGTTCGAGTGTCGATGCCCAAATAGTCATTTGAGATTCAAAGCCTTGTGCCTTTTGATATGTCCCCTAGCTATCTTTGTAGGTTGAAATATTACCTAGGTTGAGAATGGTTTGCTTGGGGACAAGAAAACGTCTAAGTGTGGGGGCGTGATTCGGGCTCAAATGTACACATTTTACCCATCATTTCTTAATCGTTTAGCTTAGTATTTCATCGTTCCTCGACATATTTCACGCTAGGTTGTGCTTGTTTTGATACATTTCAGGTCCTAGCACGTGTGGAAGGGTCGAGGACGAGTTTTGGGATATCTGGAGGTCAAAAACCGCAAAAACAGAAGAAAAGTATGAAGTATCGTAACAATATCCCCATAGCAGTGAAGTGAAGGTATCCCAGGAAACAACCGCAGTTCACGGCCAGACAAGTCAGCTCACGGTCTCCTAAGACCGCGAATATGGACCATAAACCGTGAACATCGAGCAGTCCAGCGAGGTTCGTGAGGTTACTGACGACAAGGCAGTTCATGGTCTCTAAGACCGTGAACTGGGGCCATTGACCGTGAACCCAGGCGAGTGAAGCAGCGCGTTTTGGACGACACTCAGTTCACAGACGCGTTTAGGAGTTCACGACCTTGAACTGGCCAACGTGTCCGTGAACTGGTCACTTTCGGGAAAATATGAAGACAGTAGCGGGGAGAGAGAAGGGGGAGCTGGTTTTTGGAGAAGAAACACTTTCTTTCTCTAGGGTTTCAACCTAAACACCAAAGGGGATTTCTAGTGAGAGAGAGAGAGAGAGAGAGAGAGAGAGAGAGAGCTAGAGTGATCTTAGAGCATCATTGGAGGCTTGGGTGGAAGATTCAAGCCTAGAAGAAGAAGAAGATCTTGAGCTCAAATTTGTAATCTCTCTCTCTCTAGAAACTCGCTCTTTTCTCTTGAGTGTTGTAGATCCCTAACTAATACTTTGTAATTACTTGTTTGGATTGAATGATTAAGTGTGGGTTTGCATCAATTTGAGTATTAGAGGTGTTTTCATGGTGATTGTGCATGCTTGTGCTTAGCAACCTAGGGTTGTGCATGTTTTGTGCTTAGCACCCCTAGGTTTGTGCATTGAGGTTCTAGCAATCTAATTAGCCACCTTAGCCTAGCTTAGAGAGTAAAATCCCCCTTCCAAGGGAGACTCAATCGAGTTGGTTTTCCTTCCGCTTTCTAAGCCACCTAAACTAGGTTAAGCTAGGGAAACCCTCAATGTTGAGTTAAGAAAGCCGATTAATCGTGAATTCGTGATTAAGCCGTCTGACCTTAGAATTGAGTGAGGGAGTAAGTCAATTACTGATTGTCTAAACCGAGAGGGTCGAGTGACATGGCCTTTCATCCTTACCTCGGTATAGCAATTGAGATTGTGGTCTCCGACCACATATGCATCCCTCTGCGGTTCGCGATTATCGTGCCCATTTAGGTTGGTTGTGATTAAGCCGCTCAAACTCCGATTTGAGGGAGAGTTCTAGGCAAACACTAGTTCCTGAGTGAGATGATCAATCCCATGACAAATCGGCCTCTAGTGAATCCATCCCGTGACAAATGGATCACTAGTTGCTCCTCCTAGTGGTTCCCCTAGACTTGGTGAGTGGATCAATCCCGTGACAAATCGATCGCTAGTCAATTGATGCAGTGACAGATTGATCACTAGTTGCTCACCCCCGAGATTCACAACCACATACGCCTCACGAATTCATTCAATCCAACGAGTCACGGTAGCTAGTTAGGTGGAAGCAACTCCCGGGTGAAGCTCCCTTAGTTACGATTTTCCTTTATTTACTTTTCCTTGCTAGTTTAGTTTGTAGTTACATTAGTTATAAACCCAAAAGTTGCTTGCTAGATAACAACCTAAGCGATTGAAGTAGGGGTACATGGATCGACCCTGGTTGACAATTTAAATTCTTGCTCTATACTGCACCCAGTTAGAATTTAAAAACTTGGGTTCTAATCGGGATTTATTTGTGGGGTAGTTTCGTGCGAGTTACTTAGCTGCACTTAAAGCGGTCCATGAAACCATATGAATGGTAGATATCTTGGGAAAAAATCCCATAATACACTAATTATTAAAAAAAATTCCCAAAATACAGTACTTATAAAATTATTTCCCAAAATACAGCAGTTTGGTTATCACCGCTGCAAACCAAGACAGTGAAAGCAATCACCGTTTTTGACCAAAACGGTGATAGTATCATCGCTTTGGACCAAAACAGTGATGCTATCACTGTCTTGGACAAAAGCGATGATCCTTTCACCGTTTTGGACCAAAACGGTGATTGCATCACTGTCTTGGTTTAAAACGGTGAAAGGAGACCTTATCACCGCTGATGTGTAAAGCGATGATATCATCGCTGATGTGTAAAGCGGTGATAATTGACACGTTTTACCGGCCTGGTAGGTGGAAATTAGGTCACAGCTACCAAGAAATCACCGCTGAGGACAATGGCGGTGAACACATCACTGTTTTTGTCCAAGGCGGTGATTGCAAAAAAAATTATCTATAAATACTGACCTCCACTTCCCCTATTGCTACTTTACAGAAAATTAGTACAAAAATTAGTGTTTTATTAGTCGTTTTCTCAGCTGGTTTGGAGTTGGTTTACTGCTCAAGAAACTCGTCGGGATTCGGTATGTTATAATTATGTAATGTTTACATGTTGATGTGTTAGTAATTTATATGTCTGTATTTAGTGAATTGCGGTTATTGGAAAATATGTTATGATATATTTAGATTAATTATGATATGATAGATGTTAGTTAATTAGTTATGAATTTAGATGAATTTGATTAGTTTTCTCATGATAGATCGGGAGTCGGTATGTTATAATTATGTATTGTTTACATGTTGATGTGTTAGTAATTATATGTCTGTATTTAGTGAATTGCGGTTATTGGAAAATATATTATGATATATTTAGATTAATTGTGATATGATAGTAGTGAATTAGTTATGAATTTAGATGAATTTGTTTAGTTTTCTCATGATAGATCAATTACATGCGTTTGTTTATGGGTTTGGATGATATTGTTTTTGTATCCCTAATGTACTAATTATATACTATACTTAATTATTATAAATTGCAGACATGGTTAAATTTAAGAAGTTTCGGCTTATTATTCGGTGGAATGGTCGGGTGACAAACTCGAACATTGGCATCGACTATGAAAATGGCGAATCCACTATGCTAAAAATTGAGTCGAGATTCTCGTGGCAAGAACTTCATGACATTGTTGCAGAAAGGACTTGTACGGGCGGGCAAATGAGAGTTGGTCAAATTGCCTACCGCTATCCAAACATGAGTGCTGGGGGAGTTGTGTACGAAAAAGTTGTCATAAACGATGATGACTCGGTGAACATGATGATATAGTTCCTATCTGACAACGGGTTGCGGCTTGCAGAGGTGTATGTCGAGACCGATCCAGTCGGTGAAACTCATTCTCACCAGTATTCTTGTGATGATGGTTTTGCAGGAGGGTATGGCTGGGGTGGTAGTTCAAGTAACTACGAAGGAGGTAACTACGAAGGAGGTACTTCTGCAGGAGGGTATGGCTGGGGTGGTACTTCAAGCAACTACGGAGGAGGTAGTTATGAAGGAGGTGGTGGTTGGGAAGAATACGTGCAACCAACTGAGACGGCCGTCAATATCGTTCAGCCCGACAGTGATCAATGGCCTGCTCGGGGTCCAGAGTGGGCTGACATTGGGAACAACCTTCGATCTGGGCGTTCTTCGCATGACCAACAAGACGATGTTGGTTATGCTGGCAACGTTGACCATCCTGAGTCGAGCTATCCATTGGCCTCTAGTGACGATGAAAGTGAGGAAGATTTGAGATCAGTCAGTGAGGAGGAAGATACGGACGATATCGACGATATCGATGACAGAGAGGTGGCGTTCCGTCAGGCACCAACACCTTACTACACAGAGGTTCCTGATCAATTTTTATATGGTCAGAACGATGGCCCTGACTATCGGCCCATGCCTGTGTATAATCCGACTGCTCCTTTGGAAGTGGGTATGGCGTTCACTTCGAAAGCCGATGTGCAAGATGCTTTTAGCGAAGAAGCCATGCGCCGTAACTTCGAATGGAAGGTAAAATATTCTGACACCAAACAATTGCATGTCATTTGTAAGAATGCTGGAGAGGGTTGTGAGTGGCAACTTCGGGCTGCATATATGAAGAGAAAGGGCGTCTGGGTCATGTGAACAGTAGAGAACAACCACAGATGCTCCTCAACCATACTTTCACAGGATCACCGGCAACTGAAAGCAAAAAAGGTGGCGAGAACCATTAAGCACCTAATCGAGGCACAACCGGATATCAAGATAAAAGCTGTTATGGCCGAGGTGAAGGATCGACATTCCTACACCATAAGGTATAAGAAGGCGTGGCATGGGAAGCAGAAGGCCATGGCTGAGGTCTACGGTGATTGGGATGACTCGTATGCTTTACTCCCTCGACTAATGTCCGCAATGGAGGAGTCCAACCCTGGGACGGTATTCGTGTCGTGGTACAACAACGTGCAAACTGAAGATCAAGTTCGTGTACAGAACGAGTTGATGTTTCATCGTCTGTTCTGGACATTCAAACCATGCATTGACGGGTTTCCCTTCTGCATGCCAGTGATTCAGGTATATTACGGACTCAAAATATTGTACTAGTTCATTACCTTACTAAGTAAAGGAGGGAGAAAGAAGTATAAGATTTTGGTGTGGTTTGGAATGAAGGGGGGGGGGGGGAGTGGTATTTATAGGGGAAAATCTTATACTTCTTTCTTCCTCCTTTACTTTCCTCTAGTTTCGTTCTAAGTATGCTCTGTGGTTGCGGCTAAGTCAGATCTTCCGCATCAGAAAGAATTACTAGAGTTAGTTTTTGTTTTGTTTTGTCGATACTCTCGCTAGCTTTTCGGCAAAAAATGGACGAAGAGGCTTTGAGAGTACGTAAATTAATTATATTCTTTTGTGATTTTTTTTTACATGGGTGCTAAAATTTAAATTGATTTGATTTTATATTTTTTTATAGATGGGTGCTGAGATATACGACCCTCGATTGTATATCGATCCTGGCCCAAGGGATCGAAGGTATTTAACCGGGCAAGATCAACATCGCTCCCGTTCAATTTGGAACAATAATCCGATAGACACTAAATTTATTTCAATAGTTTTAAAGTTTTTATTTTGCTTTCTATTGACTGATAATATTGTGTTTTTTGTTTTGTAGGAATCACTTATTCCCATCGCTCATCGAGGGACATGTCGATTGCCCCGTTGGCATGATCGACTGCAGCCCTATATAGAGAGGACGGGATTGCACGTGCAGAGGCACTTTACGAAGCTTGATATTGACAACGATCTGCTGACGGCAATGGCAGAGCGATGGCGCCCCGAGCTGCATACCTTCCACTTTCCCGAGGGTGAAATGACGATCACCCTCAAAGATGTTGCCATCCTCACCGGGCTCCCGATCACCGGAGATGCCATCATCGACAGCTCGAAAAAACCGGATGATGGTTGGGGGCCGTTGATTCTAGAGCGTTTGGGGTTCAACATGCCGACCACCACGCCCGTCGACGGGCATGGGCATCCACCACTGAATGCGGGGCAAGTATCGGTCCCGTGGCTTGTTGACCACATCCAAATGGAGGTTAACATAGGCCCCGACACTCCTGAAGATCAGGTGGAGCGGTATGCACGTGTCTACCTAATTGGTTTGGTTGGTGGGTTTCTGTTCCCCGACAAGTCAAACCGGTGGATACAAGGCATGTGGTTAAATATGCTCCTCGGTGACTGGGACGAGATCGGGAGAAAAAGTTGGGGGTCGGCCGTCTTGGCTGGGATCTACCGAGAGTTGTGTACTTGCTCGAGGTTGGGAGCGAAACAAGCTGGTGGTGCGATGTTCATACTCCAACTCTGGGCATGGGAGCATCTTCCGTTTTTAGCACCTCGAGACCCTCGGGAATTCTGGTTGCCAGACGATGAGCTACGATTTGTAGCAAATCCCCCATATGGTTTCAAGTAAGTTTAATTTATTTTAGATATGCAATGGTAGTATTTTAGTGAATTTAGATCTATTCCAAGTAAGCGAATTTAGTGAATTTTAGTGAATTTAGATCTATTCCAAGTAAGCGAATTTAGTGAATTTTAGTGAACTTAGATATCTTTCAAGAAAGGAAATTGACATTTAGGTCTGCAATTATAGTATTTAGTGAATTTAGATATCTGCCAAGTAAACATCTATGCCATAAAAATTGCTTATATACGTACTTTTGCTTAATTAGGTGGATCGGAGCAAATACAAACGACCACCAGCCCGAACACTCTTTGCTGTTTTATCGTGCTGAATTCGATAAGCTTTGGTGGAACCAGGTAAAAATACTTAAATTTCATCATTTTCAATTTTTTAGGTGGAGTGGATATAATTTGTACTAATACCATGAACTATAATGATTGTAGGCGGTATGGGACCCATATCCAAATGAAGTGGTTGAGTTGCATCGTCTTAGACGTCCCGAGGATGAAGAGACATGGTTGTGAAAGGTGCCCTTAATCTGCTTCCACATGGTGGAATGGCATCTTCCCGATCGATCTTTGAGGCAATATCAATTGGAGCAACCAATTCCAGCATCCCCACCTCAAGGGTTCAGGGAGCTCCACGCCATTGACCTACGTCCCACCAAAAAGGATTGGCAAAAGAAGCATGAATTCTACATCAACATATGGGAGAATCGAAATCAGTGGGTGGTCCAAGGGATGCCGGAGACAAGGCCAATGGGGTACCACGATGGCTACATGCGGTGGTATCGAAATTTCACGCTCAGATGGGTGTCAAAGCAAGGTGTTGTTTGGGGCGCAGTGGTAAGTGAATTCCATTTTGGCCTCTTTGTCTAAATTTTTGGAAGTATGATTACATGCCTATATTAGCTAGAATGTTAATTAATTAGTTAATTTTTGGAAGTATGATTACATGCCTATATTAGCTAGAATGTTAATTAATTAGTTAATTTTTGGAAGTGTGATTACATGCGTATGTTAGTTAATTTTGTACAACAATGTCTAAATTTTTGTAAGTATGATTACATGCCTTTGTTAGATTTAAGGATGCCCCTTTGTCTTAATTTTAGTTAATTTTGTACAACAATTTATTAGGTTGACGGTTTGGAACATGCCAAGCACACTGTCGAGAGTGCACCCACCATGGATGAGCGGAAGACCTCTTTTTTGCGTAGGCTTTTCAACAACCTGCTTTGTTGTACTCGAGAGCAAAGGAGGGATGTCGTATTATACCCTCCAATGCCTGCACCGCCCCGACCGTCATTCCGTGCTGATGAGAGGATCGTGCCCCCACAAGAGCCCCCACGGAGGAGCAGAAGAAGGGTGAGAGAAAACATTGAAGAGCTTCGTCCGTCTCAACAAACTCAACTTCCTGAACCATGGCCACATTGTGAGTGGGCAACTAGTATTGAGGGCACCGGAGGGTCGTCAAGCTATGTCGCCACTCAGGAACATGACATGTTCGCCGCCCAAGCCACCCCTCACTTCCACCATCAGCAACAAACTGCTCAGTATCAGACCCCGCTTCAACAACACACATCATCGACTTTCCACCACGCTTCTGGTTCATCTCAGCCTGTTAGACCCCCACCA